TTCAGGCTACGAGCTGAGAACACATAAACTACCCACTTGATAATATGTGAAAAAAATTCATACCACTCTACGGAATTGAAAATTTTCGTCACTTATTTATTATCCTACATCTGGATTCTAAAGTATTTATTTTAAAAGAATTCTTAAAGTTTTGTGACCACCGCTTTACCTCAAGAAACAAATGAATGAATTCATCGGTTCATTGGCTGCTATGTGCTACTAAATGAGATAAGCCGCTAACGCTACTTCTTGAAGTTATACTTTTAATGAAGTAATGAAGATTTAATTCGTGTGAGAAAATCTAAAGACATCCTTCCTGTATATTTGGTTTCTTGATAAATGTTGAAAAGTCTGAAACCTAGGAATAAACGCTTTGTTTTTACCAATCAAAATTTATTGACAGTAGCACTTCATACACTGAAACATCTGTTTCACTTGTTTCGAGTATTTAGAGATGAGATGGAACATCAGAAACTCTCAAATAAACTACCTATGCACAAGGCATTCGTGGGAAGCATGCACATCATTGAGTCTCTATTTTATCTATACAGATGTATTATGCCGTTCAATATAACTACTCCAGATGAATTGTTACTTTCAGTAATAAAAGAACATATGTTAATATAGACACTTTTTGAAGTCCAATTCGGTCTTCAGTACTTTTAAGACCCTAATACCAGAGTAATCACTATGCAATCGATACATTGGTTATCATTTGTTAAAATTGGCAGCTGCCTTATACTGGAATGAGAAAACAATAGTATTGTTCGTTGACACCCCAGAAAAAATTTGACTTATTCATTCCTAGTATGTCCAATCCGCTAGCAATAGTTTATTCACTTTGTGCATATGATGTGCAGAAACTTGGATGGAAATGACTTCCTAGGAAAAAGGTGAATTAACTGCATTTGAGATAGATTTAGTAATCAGTTTAATTTCAGGCTAACGGGCATTTGATTAGTTTCAAGGTAGAATTGAATTAGTAGACAACTGTTTATTAAACATTATGGCACAGTATATACCTAAATCTGGTAGCCTACTTGAACCTTAGGCTACCGAAATTTTGCACCCAATATATACGTCAAATTCCTTGCTTTCAATTTACTTTAATCCTTTAACTATGTCTTATAAACGTACCATATGCTATTGCACAGTTTTAAAATATTTCCAGGTAGTCGTTTCTCGAGTAGATAATAAAACGAAGAAAAAATGTCAAGTTTGATATAGATGGATTTTTCCCTGTGCAAAAATTCATCGTATTTCCACTTCTGGGATGCTTAGCTTGAAAGGCAGATTATTGCATTGGCTGACTGAACCGTCAACACCGAACTTCTGTTCGATTTTCTGTACATCCTGCGTTGTAGATCGGAAGCTAATCCAAAACCAGCTGACTGTTCAACATCATTACCTTTGATAGTGATATTAGTAGCATTGTTTGCATCTAGTAATCATTTCGTTTTAATATATTGTTCAAGTAGTGAACTTGCTGAGAATCTCATACTGTATAAAACGTATTGTTTGGAATAAAGCATTGTAATTATTATTATTTAAACAGTATTAGCCGTATCACATCACCAGAACACATTTAATACTATTGTTAAAACACATTTTTTCGAGGACCATTTGTCAGTAGACTTTAAGCCAATGTGATATTGTTATTTTTAGTCATGAATCTTTAAAACCGAACATATTTTGACAAGAAGAATTTATGTCAAAAGATTTGAACAGTTATGTGACTAAAATGCCATTTACACGCTTATTTACAGTGCTGTAGGTTACACACGATTTACAATACCTTATACTACCACCCGATAGCGAAAATTATAGTAGATGGAGTAAGCGTAACAGTATGAACCAGTGGATAAGTTGAATGTTTAAACATTTGGAGGTAGTTACTAAATAATCACTGTAATATGAACCCTCGGCAGCTGACTCATTTTGTCATAATATTGTGCATATGTACATTTTCTGTGGAATAAAACATTACTTTGGATTGATCAGAAATAAACGAAACGACGATTACAAGCATTTTTCTGTAAATCAGACACTTTATTGTAGGCTTTACTTTTTAATGAATCTAATTCCCACTATTGGACCTTAGAACGTAATTTCAAGGATAACTACTGGTTGTCTCAAGCTGTGAAGTATGAAATAGGAAGTAATCCTTGCCACGTGTCGTTAACAGATGCTGGGTGCGACTGACTTGATAAGTGAGGCGAAGTCAACGGAAAAGCTAGACACATGAAAGACAGAGTAAACATTTTTGGAATAATACTCAAATCCCTTAAAAGTTTCGCATCCTACTACAAAGCCGTTCGAAAAAATTTACTGTACAAAATATGTCTCTACATTACTGAATACGATTTTCACCTCTTCAGATTTTAAGCCTTCTAGTTTTTGGAGTGCTTTTGACTTAATCTATTGGTGTAAGTGGAAATTGCTCGTCATCAAAAATTGTTTCAATGCATTCGATACAAAATTTTCATGTAGGGTTTCCTTAAGGAGTATGACAATGTACGTCAACTGATGCTACGGCTGCTACTAATATTACCCTTACTACTACTACCACTACTACTACCAATACTGATACTAATAATGATAATAGTGCTACTAAGCCGCAGATTCTAAACTTCGCGAACATTTACTAATGATTACGGTCTTTGAGAACACATGTTTGCAGCATTATCCACTGTTATTTAACAGTTTTACCACAAGAAATAAAACTTACAAATTTAAACAATACTCAGTAAAATACTTATCGAGTTGCAGAATAATTGTTCTAATCCTCCTTTTGCAGATAAATAAACACATGTAAACTGATGAACACGTAATCATTTAGCAGCTGATAATACTAGACTAAAACAATGAATATGTAAATTAGTAGAAATTATAACACACTAACATAAGAATCGTAATTACACAAGCGACTTATTATATATAGGAATATCTTCGCGTCTCCTAAAGAAGCATAAGTGAGAGTGAATGTCTTCACATCTGTGCAGGTGGTCTCAGCGTATGTATGAAGAGTGGAAGCTACATGATAAAAATTAAATAATGATAAACTACTTATAAAAGTGATTATCGTATCAGGTCGAATTCTACAGGATAAATTTACCGAATTAAATAGATGAATAAATGCTGCAAATGTTCGTTTTTATTTATCAGCGATGAATAAATAGGTTCAAAGACTGAGAAAACACCAAAACCTAATATTTTTAAAGGTATTTTTATGAGTGCAGTTGCAATCTACCAGTTAAAGTGTTATCTGTATACAATACTCGTAACCATTAACTGATGCTGTGATGATATGCAAGTTTCTCAACCAAAAGTTGTCTTTTATCCCATAGCTTTGATTTCCAACTAAATCATAACCTCGCAGGTATCTGCACCACAGTTGTTACGAATGTTCTGGAAAATGAGTGATTTAATTGCTATAAGAACATATCTTAGTACAAAACAGGGTGTTTTGGAAATCGCAACAATATTTTGCTCAGAAAACTGTGGCTAAAACTTCAAAACATTCAAAAAAACTTTTTCATTTTTTAGGATTCTGGGATTACATTACAAAAAGAACTTTCATTATGAAGAATATGACTGCTTGGATTATCAGCACTTACCTAGAGTTTATCTTCAACGGAAATATTCAGGGTGTTGCATCTATAATCCACAATTTTCAGTCAAGAAATTTTGTAGAAGATCTTTATCACACGACGCTTGCTTCCAAATCAGAAACTACCATATTTCGTTCGTCATGAAATCCAAATTACAAGGGTAACTGGCCTTTGAAACTGCAAACAGCTTTTTTCAAATGACTTCTTATGCGGTTGTAAAGTTATTCTCAGCATATTCTGCCTTCCTAAATTTTAATCTATTCTTACTCCTCCATGATGACCCATCACTACACTGTATGTTTCATGGTTGAGCAAAATTCCTTGCCCTATTTTGTGTTTCATTACTTGCAAAACTTGACCTTTCTGACCGATTTGTTAAACCACTCATTTAAATTATTTTCATCTTTGCTCTAAACGGTAATTTAATTAGACGATCAAAAAAGGATCACCTTTTGTACCGAACTTGAATTTCAATTTGAAGCTTAGTGTCATATTCGTACTCTAAGAAATGATCTTTCTAGGAGGATTAGAACATTAAGAAAGCACACAAAATCAAATCAGGTGTTCGCAGAAATACACAATCCATGATAATTCTACTTATGAGCAGTTCGTTGAAGCTGCTAGCCGGAATTTAAGTGGTCTGAACAATTTGACTACCTGGGCTGAATCGATCGTGGTAAACTACTGATGAACTCAGCCCCAAACGAGTGAAATGCCTGTCCGGTGGTTAGATTACCTCGATCTGGTTAAGCAGAACTGCTGATCGATGTGAGTGGTCAACAACAATTCATGTCAGCCAGTGGTATATTGCGTGCAATAATTCAAAATATATATTTCATTTATTTCTTCTAACATACTATGCTGAAAATATGCAGCTAAGCAAATACTCAGTAAGCGTATTCTCTTTTTGAGGATGGAAACCCTTTGCAGAGCTTTATTATTTTCAAAAAATATTTCATCAATCTACTTACGGTTTCGCGTCTGTCTCAAAATACATTCACTACAAATTTGCAGTTACCAGGTAAACATGTTCGATTTCATAACTTTGGATCATGACGAGAACTTATATGAAATGGGAGATTTTGTTTATTACTGTTGATCGTATAAATCTTGATCAAACAATGACTGAAATTATAGGTTGATTGTGGGAAGCCATCTAAATGGGTTATCATATGGCTAACTGAAAAGTTCATCTAAGGCTTGGTCTTGAAGCAGGGGACGTATGAATATCTGTAAGACAGAAAAAGAAAGGAGATGACCTAAATATTTGACAGGAATATCAAATGCATTTACATACTATATTTTAAATACATATAATAGATGCCAAGGTATTAAACACGCAGAATGAAATCGAAATCAGATCCGGAAATGGAATGAGCAAGGCCCAAAATGCCCTATAATAAGTGAGTGAAAACCGTTGTTAGAGTACCACCAATCTTTATTATCTCGTATGTTACGATTCATCAATGAGACCATTTAATTACCTTAAGTAAATTTATTATTTTTCCAATAGCTATACTTATAACAAGCTATACCATGATTAAAGTTGTTACTTTTATGCTATTAGGGCAACAGATAATCTATATCCGGATTTAGAAGTTCACATACTTAGTAACAATAGTTTCATCAGGTTTTTATCAAAAGCTTTAATGGTTTGTGGTATTTGGCCAAATTTACGGGTTTACGGTGTAATAGTAACTACTTTGAAAACATAAAACTGAATAAACATTTAAGCTGAGTGACGAAAATAGAATTAATTTCTTGACAACATTGAGTTGGTATTTAAACTATCACTTTAAACTGACCAATATTCATTGTTTCTTGTCTGAATAAAAACCTACAGTAAACATTTAAACCAATTTAAGTTTATCATGAACGCACACTGTCATATGCTATCGCAACTTGTTATATCCATGTAGTTACTACTTGATACAACCTGGATTATGTATGTATATGTGCAGACGATAGAACAATAACCTTTAGATTCCATTTGAGAGTCACTCAGTTTCTTTAAAAATGTGGTAAGATAATAGAAGGTTTATTGTAACGTCAAACTATATATATAAAACACTAAATTTTGTCACTTCAAGCAACTTACACTTTGGTTCAAATGCTTTTTCCCTAAACGTCGGATTAAAACGGATGACTGTAAAAGGTCTCAGGGATTTATGGCCTCTTGTCAAGATTTTGGCAATCTTATTGGAGACGCTAACACCTCTGTCTTGAAATAAAGATGGGTAACACAATGGTGTCTTTTAACTGATTGATAATCGTTTGTTGGATTGTAACAAATGATTCACTGGCGACCGGTTGCTGAGTCTGTATTGTGACTTAGTTTGAAGTAACTGAACTGAATTCATAAAAGCTTATGATGAGGGGAATGATTTGCTGACACTATGAAGAAGAGTATGTGATGAGCCTTCTCTTCCTCACTTCAGAAAAACGCACTGTTGAAAATTTGCAAAAAGATCTCCCATAACCTTAGGTATCGAATTCTAATGTTGTTTGCCACTGATTTTGCAAAAATGTCTAATGGTCACGTCGATCAGTTGTGCGCATTTGGTCGTTACAGTGGCATGTTTAACAACTTAATGGTTATACAAATATGTCAACAACTTTCAATTTTGCTTTAGTAAGCGCCTGAACAACTAATATGTTCATCAGAAACAATCTTCCACTTATAGATTTTTCACGATCGAGATTGCTGCATTTCTGAAGTTTATTAGTCTTGTGCCTGTTTTTCAAATTAATCTTGTGTAAGCTGAATGAAGTTTGTCATCATATCATCTGAAGCATGCACTGGCTCATTTGATCAGATAGTGCTGTCATACTCTTTTGGTTCTTGCTTCAAGGAAGCCTAAGAGTTGTCGATGATAGCCTGAGATCTTGTGTCCAGTTTGAGCCAGAGTAATCTAGCAGTAACTGACTTGAATGACAAGATAACCTGCTTTGAAACATGTTGTCAGCATCAGCATTACAGTTTGCCAACCTGATGATGTTCTTCAGACCTCCTGATGAACTACCAGCGACCTGTAAATTTGGGCGGATTCGGGGTTTTCCAGTTGCTTGCTGACTAGTGAGTGTGATGCCTGAAGCGGAACTGGTTTGCAGACGATTTGAATGTTCGTTTGATCGTATGGACATAAATTTTCCTTGATACAGTAAACCACTATCAGATAAAGCAACTATCTCACTTGGTGAGTGTCAAAGTGTTTCGAACCTCCCCGATTATATGTGTATTTATTAACGTTGATACTTGGACTTGCACTGGTACTCCTTATGAACTCTGTTTGAACATTTATTGAGAAGCTTACTTCAAGGGAGAGTGAACTTAACCAAATGTGAAAAATCATCTTTTAAACTGAACAAGTACTTTAGGCTTTTAATCCCCATTATCTGATAAAACGTCCTCATGATTTTTTTCATGACCGATAATGGATGGGTTACTACCGAACCCATAACAGGAGTTAAAAACGACCAGTAAAAACTTAGGACCAACAGATAGCTGTTTGGTCCTAATGTGTTAATCTTCAACAGTACGCACAAATGACTCTACAAGGGATTGGACCAAAAACCGTCAAGTTTTGCAATGAACAGGTTTCTATTTAGCCACTGAATGATATTATTCGGGATGGATTTTTCGAAATACCATTCAGAAGCTATGAACTCTAGGGTCAACCAAGTTGGGAGTGAGGACAAATACTCACTGATGGAATTGGATGGTGATGTATAATTCCATAGTTTTGAAAAAGCAGGAAAATGTGGTGTTGGATCCCCACTTAGTGGCTGAATGGTAGCGTACCCAATGGAAGACCATGTAGTCCTGAGTTAGATCCCTAAAGAAGTCGGGTGCGTGCACGACTGTGGACTGCCATACTAGGATGAGACAGTTGTCTAGTGCTCCCAATTTTTCAATAGTTTTTCAAATTGTGTCAGTTCGTGATGGATACTACCATGAAATATCACTTGAGGTGGAAACCCCATTAACATAGCTAACAGCTTGTGGAAAAATAATTCACCTTTATTATTACTATTGTTATTGGTCCCTTGGGTTCCTAGTGGAACATAGGACTTAAGTAGCACATCTTTATTTCACTCTACAGTTCTCTACAGTCTTTTCAACCTGGCTTTACGAATGCCCAGAACCCTTCATTTCTTCCTCATATGATCTCCTCCATGCCACCCTCGCCTCAAACGCCCAACTTGTCGTTTCTCACTTGGATTCTACTCGATGGTCTGGCCTGGCATGTGATGACTTCAAACGGTCTTCTCGCTGTATGTTCAACCCAACCCATCTCCGCTTTCTTCTGCATACTTATTGGGCATCATATAGAAGTACTGACTTGACATTATGCAGTCTTTCCGATCCTGGCTTTGATTTCCTCATCTATACCTCCTGTAGTTGAAACGATGCTGCTCAGGTAGGTAGGTGAAAAAGACAACTTCCTTCAGATTTATCCCGTTGAAGGTGATCGGTGCTTGTTCATGTTGTTGCTGTCTTCTCTACGTTCACCTGAAAGAAGTCCCGTATTCGCTGATCCGCCTCTTCTGTCAACTTGTTTGTTGTCACCTGTAGATCTTCGAGTCTGTGCGACATTAGACATAATTCGTCACTGGCGGTGAAATTCAAGTCTCCTACCATCTGTTCATCGGTCCAGCCAGCATAAACACATCTTCTCACGCATCACGGTTTGTTACATGATCCAGTCCAGTCCGCCACAATCAAGAAAATTCTTTGGTGAATGAAGGCAACCTTGTCTTACTCCTGTCCACCACCGTCTTCACTTCAAAGGCGTCACTGAGCTTTCCATTGTCAATCACTTGACATGTAGCATGTAGCATCATATAGCATACAGCTGCAGTTGGATGAGGTCAATCAAGGTTTGTGGCAATAAAAGCGTAGTATTGAAGCAGCTGCCTGCCAAATTACTTCACCGTCGACGCTGTCGCAGGCCTTTCCAAAACCGATGAAGTTGAAGTAAAGATCCAGTTGACTGCCATTCTATACTCTGCTCTATGATGATGAGTAGCGTATCGTTGCAATTTGATCCCCACATGATTTGTTCTTCCTTAATCCAGCCAGCCTGTTCCCCTCATAATTTCGAATCTAGAGTATTTTTCAGTCTCTCCAGGATCATGCGGCTTAATATTGTGCTTATGATGGACATGGGTGGAGCATGATTCCACGCCAGTTCTTGCAAAGACTTAGGACTGCGTTATTTGGAAGTTTGACCAGGTGGCCCTTCTTCTACTCGGCAGGCGTCCTTTCCTCATTCCTTCCTTCCTTTGAAGTCTTCTGTAATAGTAGTGTGAGCATGTCCACTGTTGTCTCTACATCTGTTTCTGGTGCTTCGCGAGGAATTCCACCTAGTCCTGCTGCTTTCCGGATTTCAGCCACTTTATGGTGTTCAGGACTTTACTTCTACTTTTGTTGGAGGGCTTGTGTTCACTGGTAGTACTGTGTGTGGACTTCTGGTGATATTTCTGGATGAGTTGTGGGTGGTGGTGATGGTGGTTGATTCGAGAGTTTTTTGAAGTGGTCAGCCCATTGTTTCCAATGTTTCTCCTCTTTGGTGTTAACTAAGTTTCCTTCATTACCCTTTATTGGTTTCATCTGTGTTGATCTCTTCCCTACCAGATAGTAACCTGGTTATTTGATATAATGTTGTCAAGTCTCTGTCTCTCCTACCTGCAGCCTGTTCTGCTTCACTTGCCAGTGTGTCGTATAAGTGTCTTTTGTCTTTCCATGCACTCATCTTCACTTCTTCGTCCAGTATAGTGTTTTATACGTCGTATTCAGTTCCTGTTTTGTTGTTCATCTCTGCACTGCACTGTATTGCACTGGCTCATCTTCTGCCTTACCATCTTCCTCTCCTTTCTCTTTCAGCTTCCATGTATCCGTTGAGATCCATTTCTTGTCTGGTTTTGCTTCTTCTTTCTTCCTAACACGGTCATGCAGGTTTCCTTCTACGTCTTTTTCAAAGAGTTCCAGTCTTCTTCCTCGCAGGTTTCTTCCTCGTGGATGTCGATTAATGTCTCCAATTTTTTCCTGATGACTGACTGACGTGAATGATGTCTTTTGTAGTTTCATCCTTCAGTCCAGTTTTTGTTCAGGGGGTTGAACTTGAACTGTGGTCTATCACGAGGTTGTTTGAAGGCTTTGAACTTGGTTTTCCAGGTAGTTTCCTTGCACTGCATAGTGAGTGGTCTGAGTCTACATCTTCTCCCATTCTTCATCTTGTACCCAGTAGGCTGACTGCGTCTCCACTTTCTTGACACTGAAATGAAGTCGATTTGATTTTTAGTGTAGTGTGTCCAACCGGTGAATGCTGAAATCAAATTCATGTCTCTGCCTTGTAAATAGCTTTATGTTTGTATTCACCGCCTCCAATCACCAGATCGTTTAATGCTCAGAAGTCTGCACACAGTTCTCCATCCTCATTCATTTCACCAAGTGCCTCTCAACCTGTGATGAATTCTCCTCTTGTGTTGTCCGCTCCCAGTTTGGCATTCACATCACCCCACTCATTAGAATTTTGATGTCGCAATCTATGGTGGAGTCTTGTTCATTACTGATTCCATTACTGTGTGTAAAATTCCTCCTTCTTCTCTTCATCTGCATTATTTGTAGCTGCGTAGCGTCAGCCAGCATCATATGGTTGTGACCTTCCTTCATTTTGAGTTGAGTCCACCTTGTTGTGATGATGTGGAGAAGGAGATTGATTCCCACTGCATGAGGGAGAGCCTTCAATGCTGTTGGGAGGGGGACATCATGATAACCACTCCACAACTCAATGTGCTCGTGGTTGTCATCTGGGTGACAATATCGGTGTAGATTATTGACTCTCCAGTTGACAGTTTGGAGAGTCCACTTCCATCGCATCTGCAGATTCCTAGTACTTCCATGTTATATCTTCTCATCTCTTTTGCAATCTTCTAGATAATCGTCAATTTATCGACTATTGTCACATTCTAAGAGCTTTGATTTGCCGACTTTCCGATATGTTCTGTTCTTTTTCCTAGTGGCTGTTTTCAGCATTTGATTGTTTATGTGATTTCGAAAATTAAGAGTTGTAGGAGGAAACTAAATTGCAGTTGCATATTTAGGGATTTTTGAAAGAAAAAAAGTTAAGAGTTAAGAAGACACAATTAAATTCAAAAAGAATGACAAGGGTTAGCAGAAAAACGACAGGTTGCGTGACGTACTCACATGATCCACCAATGTTAGATGTGGTATGGCAAATAGCACTTGATCTCAGTGGCTAGTATTCTCTCATCTTTGTCCAGATCACGAATGAATATTCACATCAAATTTAATGAGACAAGTGATCATTTTGGACAATGACTCCATAGTCAAAAGCTTTTTCTGTGGCCCATTCACTTTACTGTGTTTATTTTGTTTGTTGGTATTTAAAAACATCTGAATTTACAAACTAGGCGGTAGAATTAAATACAAATGTATCTAAAGGGCATCCGAAAGATTAGAAAAGCATTAAATCACGCCTTTACTATTCCTTTATGTTTACAAAGCAAAGTTTAAAGATAAATACAGAAAGCACTGAATTCCAGCACCTGAGGATGGCACTCAGCCAATATGGTAATCCATTTTCTTTTTACAATAAACATATCAATAATGATTTTGATTGACTGAACACCTCATAAAACAGTTTTGTAATTTTCAAAGAAATGAGTAATCAGTACGCAGACAAATTGTTTTAAATGTTTTGCACCAGATAAAACCATTTTCTGTTGAATTTCGGTAGGACTCAGGAACATAGTTTCATAATTCAAGGAACATTTAAGTAATGTTAGTAACTACTAAACAATAGTAATCAGGCAGAAAATTTGGTTAGCAAGATGATATTGGATCTGAGTTCACACTGCTAAGGAGTCCCGTACTGGGACGAAACCGATGGCCAGTGCTTCTAGATTTCTAGTGTTTCTCCAACTTATCCCAGTCTATGAAGAATACCAACCTGAAATCAAAATGAAGTTGATTTAACAGTTGAATGAAGCTAATAATATGTGGTTATCTCTAATTTATTCTTAAGTGAATTATATATTTACATGCAGTAATGATAATATGACGACTAGTTTATTTAGTGCGATTCACAGTTTGAAGTTCTTTGATAGCGAGCATTGGACCAGCTAAAATAATCTGATAGTTTACAGTGAAAAGTCTCTACTTAGTCTTACTTAATTGAGGGCAGACTTCAAAAGACTCTTCCTGTAAAATACTAAAAACACATACGAATACTTATAAAATGATAGTTCGCTATGATATATTTTATCTCATAATTATATCTCAGTTACATGCTCATATCCTGACTTTTTCCTTTTCCTCTGATACATACGAATTCTCTGAGTAGAATAACTATTTATATTTATACATGTGTGTATGCATCAACGTATGTATATCAGTATACAAATGTATATACTTGCATGCAGTATGTGCTTCGATTGACTCACCTGTCTTTCTCTCCCTGCCCTTAACCTATAGGACTTTTCTACCAATATGTGACTTTCATCATAATAGGTCATACTTTCTACATGAGAAGTTTACTTTGAGTTGGAAAATTTCTTTATTTGTTGATGTTTGTGATTTTTAAAAGACCATTACTTAACAACAACTTATTTCAACAAGCAGTAAATGATACTTAATTTTCATTATCATTAAAAATGAATAACTTTATTCGATTGATATGCTATTTGTAACAAAATGATTTACGCATTTTTGTATACATTGCACTGTCTACCGGTACTTTGTAGTTGCTGTGACTACAGTATGTTACCTTCAGTTAATTTCTGGATTGAAGAAAACATTGATAAAGGCACATTAATTGGTCGATTATCGTCGTCAACCACCACACTCTCGTCGTCATCACCAACAGTTTCATCATCTTCAGTTGACTTAAAGTATGCCTCTGCATTTACCTGTGCTTATATAAGTCTAGCCCAGCAGCCTATTTCAAATTATTTTCATATTGACTCAAATGATGGTTCAGTGTATGCCCTGAGAAAGATTGACAGGGAAGCATTGTGCACTGAACATCAGGTCCTAGAACGTTTTCGAAAAAATGTTAACAACATGACAATCATGCTCAAAGATTCATCTTACAAGGATAATATTGCCGGTGATAATCTTGGTGTGATAAAACAAACTGTTTCAACCGAAGATCAGATAACTAATGAAAATCTTGTTGATCTTAGCACAACAACAGATGGTACAAGACACTCCAGAAATGTTCTTCAGGAAACTGATATTAGTCAAACAGTGACAACAAGTGTATGTCAAATTAAATTCCAAGTGCTCATCAGTGATACAACTGGACTTATGCCTAAAAGTAATGTTTTACAAGATGTACAGATTACAATATCTGACTTGAATGATAATCAACCCCAATTCGGCGTACAAAATTTCTCATTGAAAATACCGGAGTCTTCACCTATTGATGCAGAATTTCGTTTACCGCAGGCAAATGATTTAGATACTGGAGTGAATGGTATATCTGAATACCGAATGGTCCGTTGTATTCATAAAGATGGTGATAAGACATTTCCATTGTACCCTTATACATATAGTAAAGACAGTATAAACCAAGTACAGAAACATTCAGAAACAAATATTTTTAATGATCATAATGATAAGCTATCATCAAATGAAGAAATGACAGGATCGTTTTCAAAAATTATGCTGGTGAATATTTCATGCTAAAAATTTACTCACAATCTAATGGAAGACTACAACCAATTTTAAAACAAATTCGTCTGTTAGATAGAGAACAAGTTGAATGGCTTTATTTCTGCTTGGTAGCCGTAGATGGAGGCGGGCTTCAGGGCCACACTTGCGGCTATATTGAAATTATTGATGCTAATGACAATGTACCTCAGTGGATTGATTTACCCTATAGAGTTTCTATTAGTGAATGCGATCAAGACAAACAGTACACAAACATACACAATACTAATTACAATATGTATAAATCGCAGTTCCCACCACTTCGACTCTTATACACATTAAAAGCTAAGGACAGTGATAGTGGTGCATACGGGCAAATAACTTACCGCCTGGCTCAGGATAGTATGACTGGACACACAAATACCCAACTGCATCAGCCAAAGATACTAATCAGAGAAGATAAATTGTACCTACTTTCCAAACTGGATTATGAACAGTTAACAAGATTTGTGGTTTATGTTGAAGCTGTTGATGGCGGTGGATTAGTTAATTTCACTGAAGTTGAAGTCACTGTTGAAGACTGTAACGATCATGCTCCTACAATAATGCTGATCCCAGTAAGATCCTCGCCAAATACTAATAACCAAACATATAGCAGCAGTAAAAACAGCCACCACAATATGCTATCGGTATCAAGCTTACCCAAGTTGAATATGGATTTATTATGGATGGAAGAAGAAAACTATGACCAAATTAAGTTAGCCACGGTCATGTCATTTGACCGTGATAAAAAAGACAATGGTCGTGTAACCTGTTATCTGGATAAATCAGGACAATTGATAAACAACTTTGACTACAGTCAATTATTCGAATTAGTACCAAATCGACCGATTCTTGATCCTACTAGTACTACTGTTAATGAGAATTTTAGTAGTATGAAACAGAACGATGTTTATGGTAATATTACACTTACAGATAAACCGTCGATATTTAGCCTATATAAGAAGGGTGGAGTTAAAGTGGATAGAGAGGAAAATCAAAAATTACTTTTCGATATCGTCTGTACAGATAATGGTGAAGTGAATCTGCAGTTAACCCGAAGAACTTTACATGTCATTGTTGGTGACGTTAATGATCATCCACCACAAATCCTAACAACAAATAACCAATTAGATCATGCGCTATCATATAAAGAAAGGAAGGATGGAGAATCTTTCATCAGTCAAGTATTCACTGTACCAGAAAATGAACCATTAGGTACTTACGTAGGTACCGTCTTAGCCAAAGATATCGATGAAGGTATTAACTCACAATTGTTGTATAGTTTTATCTCAGCAACAAACAATAATCCCACTTTGAGAAGTAATTCAAATGAACTGTTTGAAATTGATAATTTAACCGGCAGAATTACAACACGAATCCCCTTAGATCGTGAAGCACAATCAAGCTACATATTTAGTGTACAAGTTATGGACTCTGGGAAACCATCTTTATCATCCAGTTGCAAAGTACAAATAAATGTAGCCGATGTCAACGATATGCCACCGATATTTGAAACGTCAGATCCTAGTGGAAGAATAGTATTTCAAGTAACTGAATCCGTGGGTAATCGTCGTGTACATGGTCGGTTGGTAGGGCGTCTTAAAGCTTATGATAGTGATTTCGGATCTAATCAAACGATTCGTTACGCATTTGTAAATGATTCCCTTTCACCTGCTCAATTACCAGTTTTATATCGTATTTCTTTGGATGGTCATATTTATGCAGATGGAAATATGGACAGAGAAGCTTACAAAGAACACCAATTCACTGTTATAGCCGTTGATGGCGGTCCTGCAAATTATCAACTAACAAGTAGTGCAGTTGTTCTGGTCAAGTTGCTTGACATAAACGATAACCCGCCTCACTTTATCTATCCTTCTAGCAATGTATTGAATAAAATCCCTTCTGATTTGATGAATGTAACAGTTGATACATCACCTGGGACTGTTCTTTATTCAGTACAAGTAACTGATTTGGATGAACCTCAAAACACAAAACTTAGCTTTGCACTACATTCAGCCCGTTTTTTATCGGATTATTTCACCTTGAAACAAAACGATGTTCACATATCCGAGACAAAAGGTTATACCGAGGCAAGTGCAGATTTAATTCTTGTCAATTCCTTGACACAATTGTTGCCAACATACAAAATGACACATACTACAATAAATGAGGCAAATTTAAACAATTTGAACAGTGAACCATCCATTTTATCCTCTACGAAAGTAAATGGAGGGCAACATTACCCAGCTGAGTATTTTCTGTATATAATTGTTAAAGACAGTGATAAAGAGACAGGATTTACCTCAACTGCACGTTTACGAATTCATGTTTACTCAGAAAGGCTGTCACCATCAGCTTCATTATCATCAAGCATTATCGCATCAAGACAGAGGTCGAATCTGTCTACAATTTCAAGTGCGTTGCAAATCGAAAATTCTGGAGTGCCCATACCAACTATTGATGGAACAAGTAATGCGGAAATAATACATTCTTATGGGGTTGAACTAAGAGATATGGCACAGATGTATCAAAGTAAATCCAATACCCACAATAGTAATAATATGACTATTTTGTTAATTATATCCATAGTCATCATTTGTGTATTTATAGGCGTATTTTGTTCTGTCGCAATCTTCTACATACGTGGAAATGTAGTCAACTGTCGAGAGGTTAATGGAACTAGATCATCAGAAGTATACACAACTGCACAGCCTACATGCACTGACAATTGGTCTGTTGGGGAAATAAGTGAACACTGTAAGACACCATCAAGTTGGGAAGCACTAAACTGTAAAGGTAAGTTTTATTCTTGACAAGGTTTTTTAAAATATATATTTGCAATGCAATGAATATCTGACAGTGGACGTTTTATTCAGGTATTAGTTGTTACATTAAGCAAAATTTCTTCAAAGAAAGCTTTTAACAAGACATTCACATCATCAACATAACATCACACCTTGAGACGAAGTGCAGAATATGTCGATTTATTTCAAAATGAAAAAGTGCAGGAATTACATCATTCTTTTTTCAGAATTATTTTGCAGAAGACATATCACAGGTTATTGCTTCGTAGCTATTTTGAGTAGTATTTTCAGAAAATGTGGGAACTGACAGAATACTAGGTGTTTAGGTTTCTTATGGAGGATGTCTCATTATGTTTTCCTTTTCCAAACAACTCTGACGAGGTTATGGGCGCATACTGTTTAGTAGTCCCATACTAGGACGAACCAACTAACTGTCAGGTGCTCCCAGATTTTCACTGTTTCTCCAATTAATGTTAATTCTTGATGAATAACAAAGCTTTTTTTCAGAAAAATAACAATAATGCTGGTGTAACCTCTCAGTATTAAATTACTACTAAATAACCATATCTCCAATAATGAAATAGATAGTCAGGTTCTCGTCACCTTCAGATTATGTGCACACGGGTTCTCGAATAATGAAATTTTGATGATAGTTTCATAAGATATTGGCTGGATGAACTGTTCAAATCCGCCTTCGAAAGGTAGAATGAAGAAGACGACAAATTTGTGGATTGGTAGGTTACTAACTCAAACCTCGATCCTTGAAAGCTTGGCGCTACTCATATCTTGTTTTAACTTCCTTAATCAACTCATACCGTTAAAATGCTTGAGCAAATCAATTTTATTTCTCAAAGCCTAGTCAGTGAACTTGTAATCTTCACATACAGAATGTAATCACAGTAGTCGTTTTATTTGCCGATGATTAGCCAGGTTTTATCATAAATATAAAATATGGGAGCTCTGAACAGCTGTTTCTACCTAGTGTGGGGCTCCCCAGAAGTGCGAAGCCATGACCCTGTGAGGGGTCGAACGTAGAACCCTTAGGCTCCGCAGTGAACACATTGCCATTGAGCCACTGAGTCGAAATGCAGTGATCCACATATTCCACCTCTATCAACTTACGATATAACGTGGCCTCCATCTAATGCCATCGTTGAGTAACTGTCCTCATGTGTGACTTAGTTGGCCCCACCGGTGACAACTTCTCCATAGAACTTCGGGAATCTCGTCTCAAAAGCAGGTCACTAATGAGCAGCACGGTGTTTCAGTTTGGATTTGTGTGGAGATTCATTTATTGCCTTCAGGTTGATAGTCATCACAGACTAACATCTGTTGGAGAAGTCCTATACTACGACGAAATAGCTGTTCAGAACTCTCAGATTTCCAGTGGTCCTCTAGCTGATGTCATTCATTGATGAATATCAGTCTGAAATCAATAAATCCCCAGGAAACTCCAGATTGCAATATAATATCACCAACCTCTATGACGTAATCCAATCTTAATCAAGCTATGTACTGAAGATAATCTTGACCAATTCATTTGAACGATGCAATATGCGTTGTCAGATATTAAAATCCTGTAAATATAGGTTAGATGATATGCCCTTCAAAACTATAGTCCATCTTATTTTTATTATTCTGCTTTCATGTTCGACTTACCTAATCACTAGCTCCCAATTTTTGACTTCACGTATTTCAAAATAAAACTGAATCCATTTGTTTGGACATTTGACTTGACTGAACATATCGGGTTTTATTCAAACAAATTCGTACTAGTAATCATCCGATTGACAAAACTAGCTTGCTAATCGCCAGGAAAAGAATTTGAAGTACTGTATATCCTTTGATAATCCAAAATTACTGCTGATAATAGCCAAGAATCAGATAAATTCTAATTCAGAAGTACCATACAGTAAGAAGGTCAAGTCAAACAGGACTGATAACGAATAGGTTAAAGAAGACTTTAATACTAGTATATTACTTTTTGTTGGTGTTCATTATAATACAGCATGTGTATTTGCATGTTAAATCCTGATTTATCTCATAACTGCCAGTTAATCAAGGATTGTGAAGCATACAGATTGCGGTAGAAATTGATTTTTATTCAGATTACGGGCAGAACAATGATTCTAAATCAGTGTTGAAGTCCTTTCGAAACTGACTAATTTTCCTCAATCAGTACGTAAATCAGCTTTAAATATTTTCAAGTTCTTTTACATTTTTGAGCATCTCTTCACACGTCAGTTTGAAAGACAAGAGAAAACAAAAGGATGCTTCCAATAAATTGCATATTGTTGCACAAAATATTAGTCAAAAGCATGATTTCACATTTATTTTGTTGAGTCATTTTCACTTGTAGGCAGTATTTAAATCAGCAACCCAATGAATGAAGCTCTATAGTTCAAAGTGATTGGTCCATAGTTAGAGGTTTAGTGAGAATAAAATCACTAACTGGGACTCAGACGCATTCGGCTAACGAGTTTCACACAGGAGGAAATGCCCATCCTGGATTCCAGTGCTATGCGTTATCCGTCTTTACTGTCAGTCTAGGGATAATTTACAGCACATAGTTTATTAGATGTATTACATAGTGAATTAGTATCATTATCTAGTAAATAATACTTTTTCATTGTGTAATACATGTGATAAACCAGGTCGAAAGGAAATTGCCTCAGAATAGTCAACAATCTTCAAAATGTGGTAAGATGTAATGTGCACATGCATTTTGGGAAAGAATCGTTTGATAAACACTGCCTCTAACCGTACAAATTAAGAATGCAATAGGTAAACTAACTAGTTTATCACGCCGACAACATCACGAAATGCTAGATCCTGTTTACACAGCCCTTCTTCATAACTGACGGAACATGATACTCTCACTTTAAACACTTCTTACTCCTTTCATCAAATAAAGTCTGTTATTATGTACAGTGTTTTAACAGTATGAATATGATGTAAAAAAGAAGACGGTGATGGCTTAACTGAATTTTTTCAGTTGTGTAGTGTTTTTCGCCTTCTTATTAGTCTACTAGATGAAGATAAATACGTTAGGGAAAAACAGGATATTTTCTTTTTACGATTATGTAGAGACTCATAGTAAAATGTATCAAGACTAGTTCGTTTTCACTTTTATGTAAATAGTTGCAATTATTTAACTGAAATAAATCAGTAAACACAAACACCAACTACCATTTCAGGTGACTGAATTAGTCAGATTTTTGTTGTCATTTATGAGTATGTGTAAGTGTTGGTTTCATCGTAGCATAGTTATTAGCTGTGGGATTAGTTTAAAGACAACGGTACATGATTACGACCTACAGCTCTCGATTTTTCCGATCATGTTGACTTTTTGATTACTTTCAAAATTTAGTAAATGCTATTTGGAATGTGGTAAACCAAAGTTATAATTCTTTCCCGCCTAAATGACACATGTGGTCTACTAATGTTTAAAGAGTTCCGGAATTCTTTGTTTTTCTATAATTGCTGTAGGTAAGATACATAATAAAACAGCATAAATAAGGAGACGGGAATTTTTAATAAAACTAAGAAATAGTAGGAATATTTCTACCAAAAATCCAAAATATGGATCTATTCAGTACTGTAACTAAACACAAATATCTGATAAATGGAGTTTTGAAAATATATCACTCAAAAACTTTAAAATCCCACCTAAAGAGAAACACAAATAAAAAATGTGTTATTACATTCAAGGGTTTGAAGTGAAAGACTGCTAACTACAGCCTTAGAAAGTGAAACTTTGACTATCTGCTCGATACTATCTACACGGAACTTCATTGCTTAGGTGAATATGAGTTTTATCCACCTTTCAAAAAAGCTATTTATTTCCACACTAGATTAGTGATGTATGCAAAGAAATAGAAAGCCAAACTAACATACCTACCACCTTTGATATTATTGACTGATAGTGTCTAGCAGTAGAATCCAAGACAGGCGTTTCGTCCTACTTGGTACTCGTCGGCTGTATGCACTTGCGTCCAAGTAAGCAATGTTGTTCTCACCAAGACTCAAATCCAAAATCAATCTAGTCTTGATAGGAACAAGATCACCAAATAAGAGGCAGGCACAACTAGCTGATGGGTCCTAAATAGGACAAAACGTCCGTCGTGGATTCCACTGCTAGTTACTACCAATCAATAATATAAAACTTGAAAAATACCATCATTATCGAGGCATCCGCATGGAAGGCCATATGCTAATTGTGGCCGACCGACTCGGTCCAACTGATGACGGAGAGGCACATGCTATTACATCAAAGATCGCCCCAGGTTTGTTTAAAATAGCTGTATATACAATTAATATTACTGCTGTGTGGGATTTGAACTGATACGTAGTCCTCCAGGAACTGGCCATAAGATGTAATCATAGCTTTTAAATAAATGTCCCATTTCCCCATACATGACAGTACCATCATTCAATCTTTCCATTGGAATATATTGATAATTTTTCCTCTCTTTCATTGATGCATTAAACGTACGTACAGTCTACTTAGCGTAGCGGATAAACAGATGAACAAAACTACACATATGCTAATTACAATGCATTCAACTCAGTTTGTCGTTGGATACATGCTAGAATGGATTTTAGAAATCAGAAATTGTAGATTTAGCTGTAATATATTACAAAACAAGTGAATAAATATGAGATTACAGCGAATTCATGCCAAAAAATATATATATTAGGACTGTTCACAGTAACTAGTTTGTGTTCAACTTTTATTCTACTAGTAATATTCATAACTGTTGTTGCTTTTGTCTAATTAATTGGCTATATCTTTCGTACACAACTTTTAAATTTTCTGTTATATGTTGGGATTTATTTCATTGTGTTAATTTAAACGTATCCATCAGCCAACTAATAGTAAATCATACATTTCCTGTGAGCGTATTTAAGAAAAGTGGTAATAAACTTTAAATGTAAGTCACTTCTATGATACAACTAAAACCTTACCAAAACAAGGTTAGTTTTATTTTG